ATTGTGGATTGTTGAAGTCAAAGGTTTTCACTGGCTTTGGAAGTAGATTCTAGATCTAGAGTTGGCGGAAGGGGAAGTGTTGCGAGTTTATTACATAGACTTGTACTATATCCCAGACTTTGCACCCTGACGTAATTCCGGTTATCTGTGGCGCTAATTATTAGAATTAGTTTGGAGTCAAATGAAGGGCAAGTGGAAGAAAGAGTTGTGCGCACTTGACATAGTGAGACTAGTATTTTGCCCTTCTTTTTGGTTGCCTTTGGTGTGCATGTTTGGAAAATAAGTTTTTATAGAGAGCAAATTGCAGCTGCCATGACAGACAATGCATTTTAAGGATATATTGTGGTGCAAATTGGGAAAAGTAATTTAGTAAAGTGAGCCCTTTTTGTGTTGGTTTCTTTTCCTTTTCGTTGCTAATGTTGCGGTTACTGGGGTTTTTTTTTTATCGTTCTTTTTCCCTCTTCGCCCTCCCCTTCCCTTTCCTGTTCTAATTCTTCTTCTTCTTCTTCTTCTTCTTCTTCTTCTTCTTCTTCTTCTTCTTCTTACTAATAAAGCAGCACTAATTTGATTAATTACGCGCGCCAGATAGAAAATGTCGTTTATGGAAATATAGACAGTTATGGAACAAGTTTAAGCTGTATTTTGCTTGTAATTATCTTAGCTGTCTCTGCTATTGTGCTAGGATAAAATAAGCTAACAACATCTGCATGGAATAAAGTAATTCTCAACGTAAAATTGTTATGCCGAACGGAAAATTAAGGGACGTCACCGCGTCTTGCTTAGCTCTAATCACCTAAATATCTTAAGTATCTCCCTTGAAATATTGACCTACTTTCATACCTTCTTTGTTCGAGATTTTGGCGCCACCCGCGAGTTCTTTTCTTCTCCCGAAACTTGCCACCCCATCGAAATGCCCCCTCAATCTTTGCGCTTCACTCTCCTGTCCAGCTTTATTGCCGGAACCATATTATGAGGAGCACAACTGAAAACTAGTGAAATTGCGCGTTACAATACGACTTTAAATTCTGAGATGAGGAGACAGCTACACTGGAAAAAAAACAACGGTGAAAGAGTCTAAAAATAACTTGTGTGGCCTGAAGAGACGTCAAGACCAAAAGTGTTGACAAAAGATTATTTTTGAAAGGGGTTATTATTATTTGTAATTTTAAAATTTTATTTTAAAAAAAAATTTATTTTTTTGGGGGGGGAGGTCCAACACAATCGAAGTAGTTATACTCAACAACGACCATCAATACAAATATCAACATTAACAGCATAATCATATATATATATATATATATATATATATGTAAGTAACACTTCACAGCCCTCATTCCTTGTTCTAAAACATGATTGTAATTGTAGACCAATACATATTTGATTTACGTTTGCGTTTGTACAAAAACAAAGCTGTGTGTGTGTTTGTGGGGTGGCTTCATTTGAAAGTACAAGCCATTCATACTCTGTTGTGAGTGTGTTTGTGTTTGTTTGTTTGTTTGTTTGTGTGTGTGTGTGTGCGTGTGTGTGAGTTTGTTTGTTTGTTTGTGTGTGTGTGTGTGTGTGTGTGTGTGTGTGTGTGTGTGTGTGACTGAGTTTGTTTGCGCGTGAGTGTGTGCGAGCGAGTGAGTATGGACTGCATGCCAGTGCATATGTCGGGTGGGGGAAGGTGTGTACACACGTGTGATCTAAGAAGAAGAATCTAAGAAGAATCTAAGAAGAAGAAGAAGAAGAATCTAAGAAGAAGAATATAAGAAGAAGAATCTAAGAATCTAAGAAGAAGAAGAAGAAGAAGAAGAAGAAGAAGAAGAAGAAGAAGAAGAAGAAGAAGAAGAAGAAGAAGAAGAAGAAGAAGAAGAAGAAGAAGAAGAAGAAGAAGAAGATGCGAGAGAGCGAGAGAGAGAGAGAGAGAGAGGGGGGGGATAGATAGATAGATAGATAGATAGATAGATAGATAGATAGATAGATAGATAGATAGATAGATAGATAGATAGATAAATAGATAGGTAGATAGATAGATAGATAGATAGATAGATAGATAGATAGATAGATAGATAGATAGATAGATAGATAGAGACAGAGGGGGTAAGGAGAGGGGAGAGAAAGAGAGAAATAGATAGAGGAAGAGAGAGACGGGCTGATTGAGTGGATGAGGTGCGAAGTCAAAGAAGCTTAACTGATAGCCTGATAAAACAAGAACTCGTGAGTGTTTTCTCCAGCTGTCTTCACCTGAAAAAAGAAATCTCCCGCTTTTCCTCCGTTATTTCTTCTCCCTCTTATGATTCCAGCAGTTTTAATTTTAGATGTAAAACACATGCTGTGATAGACTCTATCATTCACCTTTCAAATGCTGCAACTTAAACTTTGAGAAAAAACTTAAGAAAGGAAAAAACATCCCGCGATTTTGAGGCGATGAGATTGCGCTGAAGTCTGAAGTTAGCCTTCTCGCAAGGCCTTCGTTGGCGCGGTACAAACACGACGCGCATGCGCCCCAGCTGTATTTGAGCGAAGAGGCACAACAAAACACAGGTACAGTGTGTGTGCCTGTGCGTGTGACACCACCGAATGAGGTGAGGCGAAGTCTTCAGTTTGTCCGCTTCAGTCACACAGTAGACGACGTGACGAAGGCGACATAGAGCGTATGGACTCTTCTTCACTATTTCTTTCAGTGGGCAGTGTTCAAAATTCACATCGGAGTTGTTTTCATTCATGTTTGGATTATAGTCTGCACTTCAACTACAGTGTCGTCGCTGGAAGCAGTGTTCAAGTCGTCGATTGACCCGATCGTTGTTTTTGCGGTGTCATACGACACGAAGACGAAAGGGTCCACGGGCGACGTGCGACACCACAGGGCGAGTTCACAACGTTCAGTGTCGAATGTGTGCTCAAGTGTGATTTCTGTGTGTAGCACCTGAAAGGTGACAGGTGTTCAAATGGGAAAAGATCTGGATATACTTCAAGCTGTGAAAGACAATGACCATGCCGCGTTGCAGAAACTATTTCAAAAGGCGACGAAAGCGGGGAAAAATAGTAAGTCTTACATTTGGTCTACTCATTGTGACTGTTTACATTTGTCAAAGACAAGATCTCGCCTTATAACAATCTTGTAGCTTATTTAGGAACTTTTCTGTTTCTTTTGGTCTTTTTGGTGATCGTTTTTTAAAGTAACACCTACTTTTCAAACTATCCGTTCTATGTGCTACTGCTTGGTTCTCCCTCCAGGGAACTTGATTAAGTTTGCACTTCTATTTTTACTTTATTTGTTCACCTGTCCCTTCTCTTATTTCTTTGATCCCTAGATCTAGTCTTTTTCTGTGACAGGGTTCTCTTTGCATGCTATGATTATACAGACCTCGATAGATAGATCTAGAATCTAGTTGTTTTGAATTGTAAGGGCTCTCTGTGATGTGTGAGCCTAATTTGTCTTGTTATTCAGTCAGTCAGTCTGCCTATACATTGTGTGGCGCAAACTTAATCTACCAAAGTTTCACAAAAAATGCACGCACTCACGCAGATGCGCAATCAGACAGAGAAACAACAACAATAGTAGGCGTATATTAGCTTATTATCTCTCCCCCCCCCCTCACACACACTAACACACAAACGCACATTGACGCACACACACACACACACACACACACACACATACATTGACACACACGCACATATTGACACAGACACGCACTCATTGACACACACGCACACATTCACACACACACACACACACACACACACACACACACACACACACACACACACACACACACACACACACACATTCACACACGCACACACACATTCACACACGCACACACGCACACACACACACACACACACATGCGCTCAAGGGATGCCTTGTTGCTTTCAAATTAACCCATTATGATCACTCTTCATTTCTTTTTGTTGTCCTTCAAAATCATGTTTACAATTTTATTTTGTTCCTTTTAAAAGAAGGATCCCGCTCCCCCAAGCCACATGCACACCATTCTGCCTTAAACTCTCCAAACTTTGTCTACTTTTTAATCCTTTACAATTTCGTGCATCAGATTCCTCCCAAGCGTTCTTCAACAACATCCTGTTTATCACTATTACACCCTCTCCCTTGAAGCACACACACACATACACACACGCACACGCACGCACGCACGCACGCACGCACACACACACACACACACACACAGTCACTCACTGACACACACATTCTCTTTCTCACACACACACACACATACACGCGCTCGCGCTCACACACAGTCACTCACTCACACACACAGTCACTCACGCGCGCACATACACACACTCACAATCACACACACTCACAATCACACACACACACACACATGTATATTATTAATTTTTATACACCCCAACTTTTCCGTTCCTTTTGACACATGGCTCTGATTTATAAATTCAACAGTCGTAAAACACGTAAGCCTACGTTCTGTTGAATTATATCAGGCCTGTGACCCTTTAAGACAACTTTATCATTTCATCCTCTTCGTTTCATAAATAGGTGTGTGCAGATGACTGATTGTGGTTTTGTTTTGTTTTTAACTTAAAACTTGTATCGTATAAAGATGATAGCATGAACAATGTTCCTTAAAAGCAATCGAACCGTTTTAATTGCAATTTAGACTTTTGTCGTAATGATGCGTCTGAAAATAGGCTTGTTATCTGATAATAATATTATTATAATCGCACAAAGTAAGCGCTTACATGCGAGAGCTGCGTGCGAGTGATATGGCGTTCAGAGATTGTTTGTGTGCAGTCTCTGCTTGATAAAAGTAGAGGCTGGTGAACTTCTAATGTTTTAATAAGCAGTGATAATGTGTTAAGAATGTGCTCCACTCAAAGATAGACCGGCACGTGTGTGTACCACCCCTGATAGTCTTGTAAATAGTGTCTTTGACTTTTGAGTTGTCTGTCCACCCCTCTTGTAATATTTTCTGATCACCTTCACTCACTTTCTCTCTCTCTCTCTCTCTCTCTCTCTCTCTCTCTCTCTC